CCAGTACCTGACTGAAGTAGATTAAAGCCAGCTCTTGTGAACCAGCAACACGTGGACCTTTTAACTGCTGTATGCATTGCATACCATAGACTTTCCAGTGCAGTTGTAGGAAGAAAAGGCAAGAATTCCATGGAAAAGGGGATGAAGAGGTTATGCTTATGCTTTGTTAGCAAAGTTTCCTTTCTTCTCTATCCTAACCTCCTGATGAAAGATGTCTTCTCTGCTGCTAAACCATCTCTGCTATTTCACTTGAAAATAGCTGTCAGACTGTGAGGGGTGCACTTTCTTTGCAGTAAGTGGAGGAAATGCTTTGACCAATGCCTACTTAAAACCTGTAGAAAGAAATATGATAATGAATGATAGCAGGAACATTAGCAGCTGAAATATGACCTAGTATTTATGTATATCTTAATATAATGAATCTGTATTTTATTACAGTACATAATATGTGGAATCTCTGTATTTGTATAGCATCCATACTGTCAGCTTAAAAAGTCAGAGAAATTCATGTGAATTATCTTTGTCTTTTTGTTTATTAATAGTGTGGGCAGCAGAAGGAAACAAAGGAATTTTAAAATAGGTAATTGAAGTGGCAGGGATCTGGGAGAAATGAATGGGGCAGTATTCAGAGCCAGCTTTACATATGTGCCATTTTGCCTAGAAATAAGACCTCCAGCAACGGTAGGAGAGAAACAGCAATCTCACAAGAAAGATGTGAACAAACAGACTAAGTAGTTCCAGGAAGTACTTGCTAAATGTATTCTTGAGTTGTTTGATGTGGTTAGCTGCTATTTCAAAGGACTAAAGCTAACGCCCGCAAAGTTGCTATGTTCCAATGACTGTTGGCAGGAAAACTATTCAACAGACTCAAGTTCTACATGCCTGACACTATGTTGGATGTATGGACAAATCTGTTCACCTCTTTGTGGCTTTCTCCATTCATCCATTTTTGGAATTGCTGATTACCTTATTATTACATGTGCATTTTCTTTACATGAAAAGCAGTCCTACTAAGGAAAGACTAAAACTTTGCATATGCCTAAACTCTCCTAGTGTTGGTTGCTGGGAATATACTTGAGCTACAAGTTCCTTATCAACTTGTTCTATCCTATAATGCAAGTGCTGGCTTCTGTTCCTGTGTCTCTGTTCGATTTTGTTTTTAGGAATATCACTTTCCAGGAATTGCACCTGTGGGAAGAAAGTTTAACTTTTGCCCCCTCTTCTGGCTGGCTGAGCAGGACCTGGACACAGTCCCATGCTAAAACTGCTGCTAGCATATCATGACCAGGGTTTTGCTATCTGGGTCCCTTTTCCCTTCTCCCCTCTGCTCTTATTCTTCTAAAGACATATCAGTCCCAACTATTTGCCAACAATGAAGAGCTATAAATCATTAAAATGTCCACCACGAACACATTTTTCTTCATTAATGCCATTAAAACTGGTGAAACTGCTTCCTGTATGTAAAGAAATGGGTAGAAATCATATTTGAATTTTCAATAAGTAGACCCTTATTGGACCCTTCTCTCCTTTACTCCTGACAGCACAGGTTTCGCTTGGTATTTTACACAAGGCTGCGGCATCTCAGTCATCTAGAGGCTGACAGTCTGCTAACAACATTGTCAACAGAGGCTAACTAAGGAGCAGTGTTCAACAGAACTAAATACCAGTTGGCCAGCAAGAGGTTTACCGAAAGTTTTCAAGAGACTGTAGCTATTTAAGGGATAGAAACCTCAAGCTGGTTCTTACACTTGACTTGAATTCTCTTTGGAAATCAATGCACTAGTATTTTTTTTTAATATTATTAATTGTACCCATAGACCAAGGTGTCAGATCCATGAGATAGAAGTGCCATCTGTAAACTGTATGCCTAGGTAAGAACAGGTTTAATAGCCTGCAACCTCCTTCTTAAAATTAGATGCCTAAAATCTTGCCTTTGTGTTGGGCCCAGTCATTCTGCTTGCTACTAGCACTTCTACTTAGTTGCTAGAGCACCTGCTTCTGCTAACACCCTTCTGAGCGTAGGGATGTTGATACCCACGTGTTCCACCTTTTAACACCCTAACAATCTGGCTCAGAGCTAAGTGTCACAACAAAACTTCTTCAAGTTATGAAATTTTACTTATTGCCAGGCAATCCCAATTTTTTTTCATTAGTTTGGGTATTAAAAAAAAGAGAACATCTCAAAAAAGTTGTACAAACACTTCTTTAAACACCTATCCTCCTTACACCCTAGTTTCATATTTCTGTATTTTCAACACAGATTTACAGTTACTTCATCAAAATTCTTCTACCAAGGTGATAGGCATTGTAGGTGACTGAGGGAATATGTGTAATGGTTTCTTTTTGTCACTCTGACATCAAGACTTTTTTTGTATTGGGTCTTTTCTCAACCGTGGTTTGCATCTGTTTCAGGCATGTGGGAAGAGGCTATGTGTCCCAGGGCAGCCCTGCAGCCTTCCTGCCTTGCAACTTTGTTGCTTGTCCCCATGACAGTGGGCAGCTGGTCAACTGTCTTGTTGGGGAAACAGTGTCAGTGTGCAGCTAACAGCTGGCCTTCCTTGGAAAGTAAGTTACAGGGAAGCAGAGTAGAGCCTGTAAGTCAATGAGGAAGGAGCTCTTCTGGGGGTAGCAAGGTCCAGTATCAACAGGTCATGCTGGTGTATCAGGCCACGCTTGCCTTTTACTGAGTGCCTGCATTGCTTTGCCTTGGGAGGAAACATGAATGTAAATCTCAAAGCAAAGCTCAAGAATGCTACAAGCCTGGATACTTCACCTCTGGCCACATATGCTAACCATGGGCTATAGTACAAGAAAGGAGGCTATCATCATCTCCCAGCTCTGCCTGTCCACACAGGGTACTTTTTCAGTCTAGCGTATTTTACAGATTGCTCATCGGCTGTGGACTAACCTTTCCAGTGCCTGTTATCTTCAAATTGATTCTTCCCTTCCTCACAGACATATATGGCTGGAACTCCCTGTTTTCAATTTATGATCATTGTCACTTCTGCTGTGTCCCTCTGTATAGATTTTGGCTCAATTTTTTCAGTGACGTTCTTGTAACTACTAAAAGGCTGCTGTTAGCTTCTGTCCATACAGACCTTAGCTGTTGATACAGCTAAGGATGCTGTCATTCTCCATCTCTGCCAACAAAACTGCTGATTCCTGTTTAGCCCTCTATACATCATGTCCTCTAAGCCCTTTGCAGAGCCACTACACAGTCAATACCTGCAGGCGCATTGAGGAGCAGGGTCTCTGTGGTGGTGAGCCAAAGACCTTTATTTAGGGTTAAACACAATTTACCCAGGTTCCAATCCCAGAGCAGCCCCTGCCCTGCCTGGGCAGCACGGGGAGCCCAGCAGCCCAAGCAGCCAATCAGGCAGGTGATCACATGCTGCCCACCCGTGAGGCCGCCCCACGTGTGGCTGCGGCTCCCGCCCCTACTGCTCAGCTCCTGTCTGCCGAGGAGACCCTGCCTCACACCGGCCCCAGGCTGACTGTTCCAAATACCTACCTAATGAATGGGTGTAACCTATGTGCAGGATTTAACACTTGTTCATGCTGAACTTGGAGATTCCTGTTGACCTCTTCATATAGACTGTTTAGGGGGTCCTTAAACAGCAACTTTGCTCTCAGACTTCTTGACTACATCCCCAATTTGCTGTCACTTGTGAACTGGATGAGGTATATTTTCTCCCTCTTCTGAGACATTGCCAAAAATACTAAAGTGGAAAAGTTCCAGCCTAAACTCCTGTGACACTTTGTTTGTCACTGGTTTCCAGGTTGAATAAGCACTTTGCCCCTCTGACAAGCTCTTCCTCATGTGATTTTTAAAAAGGCACGCACACACAAACTAAAGCACACTGAGTGTTTTTTTTTGGTATACTTACATATGTGTGCTGGAATCTCATAATTTTAATAGTAGAGCCACCAAGCTGTTAGTCCACCATTTGCTCTGAAGTTCTTGAACTCGCTGTGGCAGTGGTGTTTATCTTATTTAGAAGGGTTTCCCTAGGACATAGAAAATCGCCTTACATGCATGGCTGTGAAGTTTTGTTGCTGGTTTGGGAATTCTGGCATTTAGGCACAGACTCTTGACATTGGCACAGAGGAAATGAGAGATGAAAGAGCTAGTATACAAGATGAAATGTTTCTGGTTGGTCAAGGGAAGAAATCTCAGCTTTTCAATTGTTTTCTGCATGACATTAAGAAATGATGAAAATTGTAGTGTAAGCATACCTGAAACCAGTCTTTCCAGTTTCTCCATCAGGGTTCATCATAAAACTTTTAGATTCATCATTTGCAAATGTTTAGCACGTTAGCAATGGTGCAGATCTGACCTGAGAGAGTGGGCGTTACAGTAGTGGGGACTCTGACAATTTTTCAGGAACTAATCATCCAGAATTCAGTTACAACATTTTTTTCCCCCAATTCTTACAACTTTTCAATTTTGCTTTTCAAGCTACTACTTTGGAGGGACAGAGCATAATACATTTTGACACTTTTTTTTTGTTTTTGTTTTTGCTTGAATAGTGATACTGGGAGTACTGTGGTACCAGCTGTTTCCTCTGTATTTATTTTGAATTTATTGAATGCAGTTAATGCAATAGTTATTACTGGAGTGACAATCAGCAACTTTAGTGAAATATCTAAGTCTACAATAATTAATACGTTATCAAATCTGTCAGTTTTCTATCCTGCATATGTTACACAACTGCCAATGTCTTTGCTTGACCTATTCTCTATGACAAGCTTTTTGAAATTATATTTCATAATGGGTTTTGCTTATTGATTTAGAAGCATCCAGCCTTTCTATCATTTTATTCTTTATTTCATTAAGTCATTGAATGCAAAACTACGACATTTATAGAATGCTCTGCCTGAATGAGAACAAACTGATTTAAAGTAGTTGTGATAAAAAATATATGAATGAGAGAAGTAACACTAGATTTAGACTTGCAGATCAACTGAAGAGGTCGCTAAACAATTTATTCTTTTTACAGATTTCTCTTGGTGCTGATTTGTTTAATATTCAGTGTACTATCTACTATAGAGCATTATTCAGAATTTGCCACGGGGACCCTTTTCTGGATGGTAAGTAAACTTTTCTTATGATTCTAGTTGGTTTAACTAAATCTAAACTGCTTTATATAAATAAGGGAAGTATCTTGAAGTCCTCAAGCAAACTATGCTACAAAGAAAATTTAAAGTGAGGGTTAATATGTTGAGTGCTTTCCTTATTGGAGGTCATATATTTTTCTACCAGGAGAGGTCACTATAGTAATCTACAAGAGACAGATTTCATTTTTATTGTGAACGATCTTGCAAAAAGATGGTTTCTTAGTTCACTAGTAACACTAGTAAATGTTAATTATCATGTTTAAAAACAAGAGAAAATTACTAAACATTATTTTTATTGTACGTTTTTTTAATCTAGTGCAAATCATTTCCTGTAAGAAAGTGTTACAGATGAAGGAAACAATTTTTAGTTTTTATGTCATAGTGCTAGTTACTTTTTTAAATCAATGCCAAATGTGTTCTTGACTTTGAGGAAATAGGGTAGTTTTTGCTATAAAGCATGCTGATGTGTTTAATACTGCAGTCACTACAGCTGGAATTAAGGAGGGATAGGAAATACTGTTATTTACCTTCTAGTGCATTCAGTTTCCAGTGGACTATCAATGTTTGATAGTGGACTATAAACTGATGCCTTGTGGCTAGGCAGTAATGGTAAAACTGTATAGGCACATATATACTGGATGGGATTAAAAAAAAACAGCGAGTTGAATACTGATAGTGATCAGCACTCCACAGAATAAAGGAAGATTTTCTTCTTATCTACTAAAAATGGTAGAGGTCTTGTGAGTGGTGTGTAGTGGTGTGGGCTTTTTTGTTGTTGCTGTTGGTGGTGGTGAGTTTGTGTGTGGGGAGGGGTGAGTTGCCCTCACCAGATTCCAGTACTGTTCCCTTTTGTATTTTTTCCCCTACTTTACTTGTTCCTATCCAGCTTTCTCAGCATAGCAGTAAGATCAAAGCAAGCTCAGTGTGTTAGCTAGGATCACCTTCTGTGTTTCAGTAGGTCTGGATCCTGGAGTCCTTTTTTTTTTCAGTACTCCAGATGCGGCCTCACCAGGGCTGAGTAGAGGGGCAGGATCACCTCCCTCGACCTGCTAGAGATGCTCTTCTTAATGCAGCCCAGGATCCCATTGGCCTTCTTGGCCACGAGGGCACACTGCTGCTTGTTGTTGTTTGTTTTTGTTTTTAGTACCATACATTTAAAGACTACCTTCAGATTACTAACATACCACCTCTGTGGTAAGCCACATTGTATGGTCCTCTCTCACGGCTCTATTGCAGTGCATTGCTCTATTGCAAGCAATATTCATGTAGTGAGTGCAAGTAGCTTTCATTAACACTTCTGCATTTAAAAGGCTCAGGTTTAAAATTAGGACCTCCCAGATCAGGGAAGAAGCTCTGTGCAGTGGCAATATTTAGAAGGGGAAGATATCATGAAAGAGTTATGGGTTGCAGATGCTTCACCTTGTTCCAGCTTTCCTGAACTCATTGCTTGGTTTTGTCTTTGCGAAAAAGCTTGGAATGGGAGGGCAATTTTCCAAGCATGCCTTCTGCAAAGAAAGCCTATCCTTCCTAACTGAGAGAAGGAGTTCAACTGTTCCTTTAGTTTTTGGCTATGCTCTTGTCCTTCTCTCTCTTAAGTTTTTCATTCATATCCTAAAATGCTGGGGTCATTTTGAATCTGACAGAGGAGTAGAAATAAGGCTGGGCATGTCATCTACCCTTTATTCTTCTCTCCAATTGTGAACTGCATGTGTTCTTACAGGTTTGAAGGCTTTCCCCAAACCCCACCTAATGAATTGGCTTTAGGAAGTAAAAATGGTGGATTTTTTATCAATGTTCTGCTTTTATTCTAAATCTGTCCTTTGACATACTGCAGTAGCACTTATGGCCTCTATGTTTGATTAATAAAAGTGCGATGTTGATTATCTAGTACAAGTTCTCAGCTGCTGTTAGCAAGGTAATTCATTTCTGACAGATGATAATGGAATTCTTGTATATGTCATGCAGAGAATGATTATGTCATACTATATTTATTGGGATATTGTGCTATTTGTGTAGTTTACTTGTGTAGCAGTACGCATTTATGAATCCCTTAAAGAACTAACAGGTAAACTGGTCACAGGAGAAAAATATAACGTTTTCTTAATATTATGGAGCAGATACTGTTAGCGTAGAATATAGGCGAGTAAAACCAACTATTTGACTACTTTATTTTTTCATTGCTAGCTCCTTTGTACATCTAGGAGGAAGGAAAAATTAAAGGAGCATCCTTGTCTGTTTCTGAGCTTCATGGTGTTGTGTAGAAAGACTAGAAAATAGATCAAGAATACTAGATTTTAAAATGAAATTTTATTAAAATAGACCTGGAATAACTATTTCATGAATTAAACATGTTAAAAACTGGCAGTGCAAATTTTTTAACACAGTCCATAAAATTAAGTTCTGCATTAAGTGATCTGCTGAATTGCCAGTTTTTTTCTGAAATGAAATTCAACTATCCAGCTCTTCAATGTGAGTTATGATACAGCTATTCTCATGGCTTATGTTATCTATTAGATTGACATGATGCAGTACAGAACATGTTGTATTGGCTGAGTGCTGTATAATTTTGAACTCTCTAAATAGAAATCATTGCAAAATAAGTATAGCTAAGAATGAATAACAGAATCAAGAGTGCTTTTCAGGATGTGGCCCAGTAGACTTGGGAAATATTTCTTATATGGGAGTGAGAGTAAGATGAACTCATAGGATTTTTCTAATTCTGATACACTCACAAACCAAACGGTTAAGAATCACAGAATCACAGAACGGTCAAGGTTGGAAGGGACTTCTAGAGATCATCTAGTCCAACCCCCCTGCTAAAGCAGGGACACCTAGAACACATGGCACAGGGTGGCATCCAGGCGAGTTTTCAAGATCTCCAGAGGAAGAGACTCCACAACCTCTCTGGGCAGCCTGTTCCAGGGCTCTGTCACCCTCATAGTAAAGAAGTTCTTCCTCACATGGAGGTGGAACTTCCCGTGATTCAGCTTGTACCCATTACCCCTTGTCCTGTCATGGCCACCACCGAGAAGAGGTTGGCCTCATCCTCCCTACATTCTCCTCTCAGGTACTTTCACATAATGATCAGATCTCAGCTTTTTCTTCTCCAGGCTAAACAGGCCCAGCTCGTTTAGTCTTTCCTCATACGCCAAATGCTCCAGTCCCTTAACCATCTCCGCTGCACCCTCTCTAGAAGCTCCATGTCCCTCTTGTACTGGGGAGCCCAGAACTGCACACAATACTCCACGTGCGGGCTCACCAGAACAGAGTCTTATCAGACTAATCCCCAGCCACCTTGTTTATGGCTTTTTTGTTTTGTAGCATGGGAATTCTGCCTTAGTCTGAAGCTTGTTTATGAAAAGTCCACCACGTTGTTTCAAATCAGAAGAGGAATAATCTGAAAACACTGTGACACTCCAGTAGCATATGCTGGATTTAATTGCCTCCAAATTGAGCATTATGGGATTTGGTTCAAATTACTACTGTGCTGGAAAACCATATGTTAAAGTAACATTTACTAATTGCATTTTCACTCCAATAAAAAAGTTTCCTTTCTAAGCACATCATATTTTTGACCTGCTCCTAGTGATTTTGTTCCCTTTAGGATTTAAAAGTTCTTTCTCTCAGTTTTAGGCAGTATAGTGTTCTAGAACTCAGGCAGGACAATGCTTTGTTTCTGGTGTCTTTTCCCCAAAAGTAAGAAAGAGGGAAGACATGTAAAATCCGTATATGGATACACAGATCAACTGGTCTCACTCACGGAAAAAAATAAAAAGTGATGCAGAATGAAAGTTCTACTGTGAATTCATACTTGTATCTACAGTAAAGGATTCCCACTGTGGATCATTATAATGATTTTGTTTTTCAAAATGGCAAAACTAACAATCACACTTTTATGGGTTAATAGAGAATGGCATAAATCATTATGTAAACCATATAGTATAAAATATTTTTTATGTAATATAAAAATACATGTAGCCCTGATTTTCCACATTTCCCTATCTTTTTTCTTTAAACCAATGTATGTTTTGTTAGTTGTGAATGTCTGATGTTTCTTATTAGATGATTTTGATTCATCTTGTGATTTTGCCACACCTTTCTTTTAGATTTTGGCTTATCTGCTTTCAGATGATACATTGCTTAAAGGTTTTTAACAGATATGGTGTACTCACTTCAAAGAACAATATGAGAGAAAGCAAAAAATACTTCTCCCGTGACAAAAAAAATGTCAAAGGAAAAAGCTAGTGACTCAATATTTGAATCAGAATTTATCTTTGGGATATCCTTATTATCAGGTCTGCACAAAGTGTAGCTCTTTTGTAGCCACAGGAGCTATTTTGCCGTGGTTGAGGTTTGATCATTTTGTATGTGCTGGTTAAGAAACACACGTGGATAGGTCCCATTCCAACAGGAAAGCTGAACTTTCCCTCCCTACTAGAGGTGAACTGTTCAGTTCAGACTTCGTGATATGCTGATGAGCAAATTGATTCTTAGTGGTGAATCTAAAAGAAATAAACACCTTCAATCATTGAAAACCCTGAATCGACTTGATTCATTGTTTGATTACTTGTTTGCCTAAATATTATTTTTCTAAACTAATCAATTCTGAAAAGTACTGTTCAAAAACAATGCAGAATACAGTTAGCTCTTTTGTAGAAAAAAAAAAATCTGCCTTAACCCCACCTTCCTCTGACTTTGCCGATACCACTTGAATTGTAGTTGTCACAACTAATTTGAATAGTGTATCATGCTCTTCCCTCATTATTATACAATTTCATCCTCTATAGAAGTAGCAACTTTGATAATTTGAAAGACAAAGATACTTCTGATATAAAGACAGAAAATTCAGCATATGCATCAGGTGTGCATGCAAACTATTTCTCAAGAGGTGTTAAACAAAACCATTTATATACAAACAGCAGACTTTCAAACATTGAGTACATCATTGTTTTTTGTTTGAGAGAAACCTGAAT